CAGTTTCATAAAGTAGAAAAGAAAATTTCCCACATATCTGAACGACCTGAATACTTGGCTATTGGGAGATGGAATGAAAACTGGGTGATTGGTGGGAAGCATCAATACTCTCACTATATTAAGGTGCTTAGCGAAGAGCTCAAAGTAGTAGCAAAGTATCCTATTTCACATGCTATTTATTGCTTGATCATTGTTCAAGACATAGTTTGTCTAGGATGCCAACAAGATCTCAAGCTTTTGGACCTCAAGACTTCCTCTATTGTTGATTTCTAAAAGAGCGAATAGCCAGTAATAACTATTCTGCCAGATCAAAGAAACCAAAGCATCATTATAACTCTCAGTGGAAACGGAATTATTTAGGTGGTAGATCTGAAAACAAAGGTACTTGTATACAGAGTGAAAGCGTTTGAGAAAGTACAGTGCATGGTCAACACTTCAACTACAAACAAATATGCCTTTGCGACCAACAAAGGTGTGATTTTTGGATTTCTTGATACTCAGAAGGGCTATAAGTATACAAAGGACAAAGATGAAGCTTATTTAACTGGATAAACAATAGATTAAATTGCTGAAATCGATGGAAAATTACTTGTAACCACCTCACATTTGGTATAAGTTAGTGATCATGACACAAGCTGGGGTTGGAGGAATGAAACAAGATACCATTCAACTCTAATTGACCGGAAAACCAAGAAAGAAATCAAATTCAGCGATGAAGTATCGTTCCACAGTATGAAGCAAGTTAAGGGAAGAAAAGATCTATTGATGGCTTATATGAACGGTCTCTGCTTTCTTGATATTAATTATCTGAAAGTTACTCATTTTTACAGTTATGGCATTTGTGACTTAAATTTTACAAACACTTTTTGTTAAGTGGACAACGGGAGTGAACTGAAACTAGGGATTGTCTCGTACGATAAAAAAGTTTCAGCTGTGAAAGTTTGTTCCTTAAAATATTGATATTAAATCCCTAATTCCATTAGCAGCAACTTGTAAATATATAATGCTGATTTAATGCTTTCCATAATTATAATTATTTAGAAAAATCTTTTTTAATTCGGTTGGGGTTTTGGGGTTTTGGGGTTTTGGGG